AATATTTAAATTACATCTAATCAAACCATGAGCTTTGGCTCATATTAAAGGTATGTTGATTTTTTTACGGATACTGAAATAGGGCAGATGAAAGAAAACAAGATTTAGGAATAAAGAAATATCACATTGATGCAATTACATGTATTATTTTGAAGACAAGTTAAAAAAATTTGGTATAAAATGAACAAAATAATTTCCAAATCCATTGTTAAATAAATTACACGCAAGTTTGTGATATGAACTTGGCCTTAAATTATTATAATTGAAATGTGAGTTCATCTTATAGCCACGTGTACTTTGACTGCGCATTGTGTCTCTGGAAATGTGTGTGATATCTCTCATACCATGTTTTATAAAATAAAATGCGCATAGCAACAGACGGTGCGTGATTTCGGTTTTCATATTTCTAACATTTTCAGTTTACAGCTAAATACATATTTTTTCGTACGCTCTTACGCGTACTTAGAATATTTTTTCTTTATTATTTGTGCGTTATACATTTACACTTTATTTATGTACATCAAAATATACGTATATTATTCAAAAACATAATGTACTATCACCAAACTTTCAACATAACATCAAATTCATTCGTGAACACTAAATCTACATAAAGGACATTTGGTTTAACTTTTATAGTAAGAAGTATTTGGGATGTCATATTTAGGAAGAAATAATAAAGTTGTATATTTGTTATAAACAGCCAATTATGGTTGAACCCAAAATTGTAATTCGAATTGGAAACGTTCGTGCCATTTAATGTATCATCATCAGCTCATTATACGGGCCCATTGAGGGGCTCGGATCCTACCCTAAGTTAGGGGTGACTACGCCATAGTCAACCACGCTGGCCCAGTGCGGGTTTGTAGACTTCACACATATTGAATTTCTTCACAGATATGTGCAGGTTGCATCACGATACTGTCCTTCAACGTAGGAACATCGGATAAATGTACGTATGTAATTCGAAAAACATTGTTACATGGCGATAACCCAGGACCTGTAGATTACTAGTCAAGTGCCACCGACGATTTTATGTATGGCTCAACAATAATCGGCTGTTTCTATCAAATATATAGAAATAATAATATTAGCAAGATTTAAGAAACTAGTATAAGAATAATATTTGAAATGGCAAACGCTTTTTGGTAAATTTTAACTTGTAGTGCGTGCTTTGGGAGGAAAGCAGGACATTCCACGTTGACTCACAAGGACAGACTCACTCCTCATTTATGTTGTCTATTGTCCAAATGTTATTTCTAAGTTATGGTCAAACAAATTCATAAGTGTTAGAAATAATACTTTTCACACTACATTTAGGTATGAAATTAAAAATAATTCTTAAAGTGTGATAGAGCTAAAATGTTCTAGAGCGAAAGTTTTTAGTATGCGCGTGAATTCTAAATCAAGCAATAATATCAAAGCGTAGATACACAACATGTCGAACTCCTCGCTTTTGGTCTTTAATTCATCTACTCTAGTTAATTTAACAGTGGACAAGTGAAGATTATTAAGAGTGAGAGTAGAAAAATCCAAAAAGAAGGAATTCACGGTCAATGTGTGAGTTTTAACGAGTGCTCGAAATTGTTCCAATTATGTTCTAATAATTCATTCTCTAACTCTAATCTTTGATAATTTTTACACATACACGTAGATATCATGAAAGACGCCCGCCTCTAAGAGAGCAATAAGGACCCTATTGAATTTTACAACTGATTAAAAACTTCAACAAATTGAGGTATTTATCTATAAGACCCGTTTTCAAGAACCGCCACAGATGGACTTAGCATACATTTCTATTTCCCAAGAAAATAATATCACGTAAATAATTCTGAGAAACAATAATTTAGTTTTAATTTTGTTTTTTTACTTATGAATACACATCACAATACGAAATAAAATGTTCTTTGATAAGGACAGATATTTTTTTGAACACGGCAGAGAAATTATTATTAGAAATATTATTACTTTTTATAATCTTAATTTATTATATGTATATCCAGCAATTTTCTCTCTAAATGTTTTATGAATGATTATTGTATTACACTGCTTAATTCTCTGATATTACTTAAATAGAACTTAATTATTTAATCAGAAATTTATAAGTAAAGTGGGCAGATGCGATACATTCACTTCCTGAAAGTGAAGGCACTATGAATCACTTGCAGAGTGAGTTAATCGATTGAAACAATACGATCCACCGTTGAACCATGCGATCCACGCTAAATCAACTTTCAACTGAAAACTTTATAAATGTATCGTATTAAATAAAGATAAACTGGCCCACGCTCAATAAAAATTGGAAAAATTCATAAAATTTGTATATCTGTCAATTGCAACGTCTACTGTTATACATCTATCATTCTACAGACCGACATAGTTTAGGTTTTATTTGAAATTAAGTGAATCAAATAATAACCTAAGAAGCATTAATAGACGTTTAGCACCTTCGGTGACTTGAAACACGGGTATGGCAACAACAAACCGTTTCTGATATATTTACACAATAAAAACGTAAAAAATAACTTACTTATTATTATCAATATTATTTGATTACAACAACTACGCCCCCTGGCGAGGACTACATTTTCAACAAATGTCCATTCAATAAAGTCTTAATAACCATTAATTTATAATTTGTTTTCCCATCACATAATTATTAACGACACTTCTATCCTTTTAATTCATTTAAAAAATAAGAAAAAATCTAACAATTAATATTGTACCGCAACATGACTAAATCGTGAAGGTTGTCTAGTTATTGTTTGTATACTCAATATTATACACATAATATACAATATACATAATATATAATCCAAACCAATTAATATAAAAATCATTTTCAACCATATTACATCTGTGTTACCTCAATGATAATTCATAAGACGGATATTAATACATATAACTTTCATTATATGCATAAGTCATATATTATTCTTACAAAACAACAACTACTTTTATGTTATCCTAATATACATATATAGTCAATATTATGGATGTAATATAGACCTGAGATTTAGGCGACAGCAGGCGGTACGACGGTGCAACAAGTCTCGCAAAACACTCTGTCACCGATTTTGGGAAAAGCTAAGTTGCTTCCAGTATCGAACCGTATGGTCTCATTGTGTTGCTACCGGACTTGTCGCATTGTCACCACTTGTCTTGTTTTGCTACATTACAAAAATAACTCTATAAGAACCGATTTCAATTATTCTATTGACGCCACGTTGGAAAAAGAGACTTTGGAGTGTAAAATGTTATTATTCACGGGAAATTTTTATATGTTGTCGACCAAAACTGAAGTCTTTTTCTCCATCACATGCTGAACGTGGATCGCGACCTGAACTGATGATATCCGTCAAGCGACGAAAACCTCCATTGTCACTTGCGATGCTAACAAATGTTCCACACGTATAAAAAGTATCAAGTACAAACTAGTATCAAGTGCGCGCTTCGCCTGCTGCTGCTGTACACCTCCCATAACACGCGTCCTTGATGTTCAAAATATTGCTTCTATATAAACTATTTTAGCAAAAATAACGTAACGTAGTAAGTAAAGGTAACGTAGCACACATCAAACGATGTATAAACGGTTCAACTGTAAAACACTATTTAAAATATACGAACATTTCTCCGCTTAACACAAATATCTTAATCTCGCTCGATTCTGCCGAAATTATTACAGTGGCTTGGTTCGGCTCAAACGAGACGAGACTCGTGATAAATAATTATTGGTGTTTCTTAGTTGTATGTGTGTGAGTGTGTGTGTCGATGAATCGTACACGTACATAAACTTATAGTCTAAGTAGCACCGGCGCGCTCACGGGGAGGCCGCGAGGCGCGGGCCTCATCGAGCGACTCGTCGCGCTATTTATTATCATAAGTCAGCACTAACAGAAGTTCTGGCCGCGGCCGGCGACCGCGACACTTGGGGGTGCGGGCGCACGGTAACGTAAAACTATAACCTCGAGTCGCGCACAGTGACCGGTGCGCGCAGCGACCGGCGGGTCCGTGTGGGTAAGAGGTGGGATGTGAGAGGCACGAGGCGGGCGAGGCAAACGAGCAGCGCGGCCGCCAGCAGCGGCGCGCTGGGCGGGCCGGCACTGGCGGGCGCGCGCGCCGCGTACGGCACCGAGCAGGCGGGCGCACGGTCCTCGACGGGCGCGCACTGCTCGGCGGGTGGGCGCGTGGGTTCGGTCAGTCGCGCCTCGCATCGGTAGCACAGGCGTGCCTCGCAGTTCCAGTAGCAGCACTCGTCCGCCCCGTAGTTTGATTTGTTCGCCTGTGCACCGGTCTCTGGGATGCGTGCGTCTACAACATTGGTACACTTTATAAATTTCAACAGCTTGCAAGACACTAAATTACTAAATAAACAAATAAACAAGACACAACACATAAAGTCGAAGTAATCATCATGCTTTTGAAAGAGTAACAATTTTTGCCAACAAAACGGTCTATTGTTACTTTGCTAGTAGCTTAGTTTACTATTGAAAATTTTTATTTGTATGCAGTTTACAATTAGTGAGTGTATCCACAGAGTACAATGCAATACAATAATTTTCTAAGTATTGTAATAAAAAACAATTTAAAAACAGTCGAAAGTAGTTGCGTGATCGGTTAAGGGGAACAAAGGCAGCGAGGCATAGACAATAGGAGAGCAACAATTGCCCACCGCTATGTGTGAAAGGAAAAATAAAAACGTCTGCATTCACAGCAGAAGCCACTATTTGTTTGGAGCTCTCTCGTTTTGAACCCCGGCCAAGCGATGCTGGGAGCTAATCGCGCCTAATTCAACCCCCTCCCTGCTGTCTGAACACCAACGCAGCGCCGTGCCCAATCCCACCCATTGTTATAACCAACAATGCCGACCATTTGATAAAACATCGTTTAAATAGCACGCAGTATTTTATGAACTGCTTTAGGAAAAATTAGAACTAAAAATAAAGGAATTACGAATACAAGTATTTTTAAATATTATGTTTTTAAACTGAAACTGTTTTAATTATATTGGAACAGAAATTATAGGTTACAAGTATAACAAGTAAAACATAAATTTACATTACGGAAAAGGAAATTAATCTGTTAGTAACACTTTGTTTGCGTTGGCAATAGCTTTTAACTTTATGAATCTAAGCATGTTACGTATTACTTGATATTACAGTAAGATCAAATTTAGTTTCAAAAATCAATAAACAAATTTACACAGATAATCTTATCAGATACTGAATGGTTGATGAAATTAAAAATTTAAATGATGAACGACTAACCGAGGCATAGGAACGTTGGCTCGCCAGCGTATTGTGTGGGGTAGGCGGGCGCGCGGTCCGCCGGCAGGAAGTAAGGGCAGTGCTGCTCCACCAGCTGGCACACGGACAGGCAGGGCTTGAGGCGCACCAGGGGCCGACCGGGGCCCGCGGCAGCGGCGCGTACCCAGCGGCCCACCACGCCACCGCCGCCGCCGCCCCCGCCGCCGCGCCGCCGGTCCAGGTGCCCCACGCGCTCTAAGTGCCGCGCGTGCCAACGCGCCGAGTGCTCGCCCGGCGCGCGCCGCGACCTCCCGCCCTCCTCCGCTCCCTCCTCTGCGCCCTCCTCTACCCACAGTGGCACCATCGTGCTGCACGCCCAACGCCGGTACGTCTCCTGTAAATGTAAACATCCCTCAATTAGAACAATATCTAAGAAACGGGTCATCTATCTATTTAAGATCATATTCTGGTATTCCATATAAACATATAGCAAAGACCAGGGTAAAATAAAAAAGTTAATAAAGGAAGAGCAACTTGGTCAGTTGACGTGACGTTGATAAAATTTGGGCGAAGATGTACGACGTGGCGTTGTGTTATAAGGCAAGACTAGATTTACGAGGTGTGCAGACCGCAACGACGCTGCAGGTCGCAGCTGCCGCCGGCGCCCGACCCTCCTCACTTTTATCGTATCCGGCATTTTTCACTCCCGAAGGAAATCAGGCTGCGCCGAGGCAGTGATTAATTAGTTATCCAGCGAGCGCACCGCATCGCTGCCACAACGCCACCAGCGTCGCGCCGCCGATTTCTATCTTACGAAGACGTGGACAATTTTCATTACGACGTTGCTAAATTAAAATTTACTCTAAGAAGCTCAATCAATTAATGTCCATTTAACTTTAAAAGTAGTTTTTCATTAAAGTAACGACAAGAAGAGTGATATAACTGTATAACATTGAGTACCATTTTTCAACAGAATGCATTCTATTACCTATGGGTTTTAGTGGAACATAAAAATCTCAACCTTCTATTATACATATTTGAGAGAAAAAGTAGTTTGAAACAGTGATGCTATTATAATAGCCGCATGCATAATATGAAAGCTAGAGATGAATTCGTCGTGAAGACAAAAAGATCCACGAAGCGTGACTCGCTGCTTTGCCGAGTGACGACGTTTTGCAATTAAATACCTCCCCCCGCCCGCTCACGTACCCCTCTACCTTCTACCACGATCGTATCGTAGGCGCGTGACGAACACCGCGCTAATATCGGACTTCGACACTTTTAAAGACATTGATTAAAACGCTTACTTAATTTTAGCGAGTGTTGAATCTTACAATTAATTTAAGGTATCAGTGCTGAGTTTTAGGCATTGCTTTAACTTTATTTTATAAGAAGCTTCTTCCACATCATACAATCATTTCTTATAAGATTCATATATGGTTTATTGCCGAAGAAATGTAAAGAAAAAACTTATAGATTTAAAATGTGTTGAAAGCTCACAGTGAAGATAAAATTATCAAATAATTCAACAATTACCTTTATTTACATAGATTTATGTACCTTTATTTTCAAGTGAGTTCCAGAAATATCTTTATCAGTATTCTAGAAACATAACAACTAGGTACTGTAAAATTTTCCTAAAAGCGTTGCGATTCCCAGTAACAATAAACTTTCCCTTGTCTAAATATACCACGACCACTTACGATTGATATTTACCCTTCAATATTCTAGTAAAGACGGAGTTCAGTTCACTTTAAAATTAAATAGAAGCGCTCAAAGTTGACGTTGCTTAAGATTACTCGAGCGTGTATTAAGTGCACCTCCTAGAGATAATTTCATTAAGCCTGTGACAATGGCCTATTAGTAGAGGGAATAATCGTTAAATAACTATTAGCTATTAAGCTAACGGAAGGGCATTAATTGACACATCTAGTGTAACCTCTCTGTCCAATATGCGGCCGAGTCTTAAGCGATATGAGAATATTGAATACATTAGAGTACGGATTTAGTTTAATCTTAAAGAATGGTACAAAGTCGTAACTTATAGTCAGAAGAAATACACATACAAATTTCTATGATAAAAAAATAATTATATTATTATTAAAAAAATATTATAGAAATCTTATGAAATGCTGAAATGAATGAAAAAATTGAGCTTTATAGCAATCTTACTGCTGTTAATAATCCTTTCTTGTCGTCGATCCAAATTGCTCGTTTCTATAGAATTTTTCGAATAAATGTTTTAAAAAAGTTTTTTAAATTTACTAGCTGTCGCCCGCGACTCTGTCCGCGTGGATATTAAAAAAAACTTAATTAGTCCACCCATCCACATTACATCCATCTCAACATTCGCATTTATAAAATTAGTAAGTTAAATAAAAACAGCTCAAGGCATAAATTAAAAAAATGAATAAATAGTATCCTATGTCCGTCTCCTGGCTCTAAGCTACCTCCTCACCAATTTTCAGCCATATCGTTAAAGCCGTTCTTGAGTTATAAATAGTGTAACTAACACGACTTTCTTTTATATATATAGATAGATGACAATGATAAATGTATATAAATGTAGTATATTGGTAATAAATACACATATTATGTAAAGTTCTCATATCGTTGAATACAATTTTTTAAAATGTATCTATTCTAAGTATATTTAATAATTACATAGAACGGATAACTATAAGTGCGATAGTAAAATGGACGTTGGGAAGAGCTTAATGTTCGATGCCCGCGAGGCTCATTAGCGAACAGCGATATCTGACAAGTTAAATCAAATGTTCAGCTTGTCGAACGAAGACATCTCGGCGGGCTAGCGGGCCGGTTAACCGGGATAACAACACCACTTTCTGATATATACGTAACATAATCAATCATATTTCTTCTACTGACTACACTGTTTTTTCCTGATTTTAATCTTTTTCTGGCATTTCTTAAGTAACTTCGACTTAATACTAACTTAATTGACTTTATATAAGTGTTTTATATTGCTTATAGGGATAAATATATAGATATTTCTTAGGTTTTATTTATTTGTTCACGTTTACTAGTGCTTTTGAAGTACAAATTGTGTAGGAATAGGTTCTCGACTGCACTTGAAGTAAATATACACACTGGCAGATTGTCGAAATGGCGGAATACAGTACTGACTACATTGTATTTTGTTTTATAATACTGTCTCAATATCTTTATCTATCTTCCAGATATTTATCTATCTTCCCTTCTTCCATATAAACTATTTTTTTTATTATTATTATTAATCTGTTTGTATGCAATTCTTAACATCACGGTGGTTGTTTTTTCCCGGATTCGAAACACTTGCTCTCAAATAAATTTAGTCTTTAATTTACTTTCAAAGAAAACTCGAAGCTTTTTCCTTTGAGATATCTATCCAGTAAGTCTTAATCGCCGGCCAATTAGATGGTCATTAATTATGTAAGTTGTTCGACGCCGGCGACCTCACGCGACTTATTTATTCAAGTGGAACCATAACCCTCTAATGACTCAAGTTGACTCATAAACCTATATAGAGTTATGTACAGGAAACTAATCGCGTATGTAACTTCATCGACACTTTTTAATCTCTATTTATTAAAAAGTGCGCTCGTTATTATTGCACTAAGAACAGAAAATAAAACACAAAAATTATAAAACTATCGAAGTGTCATATAACTCTAATTAATTAATTAATAAACCTAGTAAATATTGAATATTACTTCTTAATCTATCATAAAGTAAACGATCAAGCACACACTAAAACCAGTCGCGGTACTCAGTCCTACGCGTTCAAAGCTTTATAATTTAAGTGCATCCATCTCATTAAATATTTATTTAAGCAAACCTGAATATATTTTACACTATTTTATGATACGTTCAAGAATATCGAATTTATTTGTAGACTACGCGTTGCTACGGCGTAGTCGTTTTACAGTATTTAATTTTATTAAACACTTTTATAGCCTTGTTTATAGTTGTAAGAAACAATACCTTATAACAATGTCATTATTAATTTAAGTAAATAAAAAAGAATATGGTGCCAAGCCCCACTAGGGGTGTTAGTGACTATTTATTTGTTTTATTAATCATAAATTGTAGTTAAACTACATTTTATTTTAGTGAGTGGAAAAGATATGACAGTGAGGTATATAGTCGTATTGTAAAATAGTGTGATGGAGAGTCGCGCGTGCGTCGTATGTATGTTAACGACCTCATAATCTGCGGGCAATTTGCGGCCTCTAGTGTCCATTTATACGTGATAATAAAAAGTGCCCAATAAAACGCCCCTACCAGCCACATTATTCTATTTTACTCAATGAAGTAATTGAGTAAATGTTCTGTAAATATAACTCCTGGAAAGTTAAAGATTCTCTAAAAAAAAAGCTAAGCTTTTAACCTAAAAGTGTTTTCAAATAATTTAGCTGATCAAATTTAATGGTAGTGTTACTATTATGTTTACAAGGAAATTAGTTTCAGGACAAAATTTCAGTCAATTTTGATACTGAAAATGTGAGAAAGCTTTGCTATTTATTCCAAATGGAAATATATAAACGTAAGCCATGTACAGTGATAAATCAAACGATAACTTTTTCATTCCGCACGTTTCTACGACGATCTTTTATCAGATGAATGGTAAGCTGAGAAATTGAAAATTAACTTAATCGCCACAATATTATTTCGTTATCATTAATCATTTAGAAAAGTTGATCACAGCTTTGTTCCCACATCGATAAATACTTTAAGTATTTTACGATTTCTTCCATGAAATCTTAGTCTTAGTATTTTACTTATTACTCTTACTAATATTATAAATGCAAACATTTAGATAGATGGACGGATGCTTCTTTAAAGGTATCTCCGGAACGACTGAACGGATCGCGCGGATATTTGGCATAGATATAGAACATAGTCTGGAAGAACACATATGCTACTTATTTAGTTTCTTTTTTAATTCCGCGCGGACCGAGTCGCAGGCAACAGCTAGTATGAGGATAAATGAAAATATTTATTATACAATCAAAACTCAATAATACAAAGATATGTAAACTATGCGATACGAGTTTAACGTAGTTAAAACGTTACCAATAACATGCGATATTCCGCTCAATGTATATTTAACAAAAGGCTATTATCAAAGGTCCGATATTGACGCAAAGCATTCAATGAGCTGCCTATTCACACCGCATGCCGACGTCTTAATAATCTAGCATTTCTAGTTAGGTCTATAACAGATAATATCCGCTGCTTGATGGATGAGACACGGCCGGGCAAGTGCTGCGTCATGCTGATCAAATCACACCGCAGCCCGCTCCCGCTGTCTCTACCCTCTATCCCTCCCCTCCCCTCCCCTCCCCACCTGCCCCTTCACACAATACAATGTAAGTAACCTACATCTCACTA